GTAGTCGTCTAGGTATCGCATAAACAGCAACTTACAGTTATCATGCGTAACCGCCTAGGAGATCTGCAACCCATTGGCACCCAGTAATGTGATAGTGGTAAGATTGCCGATCGGCGCACAAAACTTGGTTTTGAATCCCAATGTGAGTGCTGGCAACTCAGAAGATGTAAAGACGGCAGTAAATCCTGGCTAAGAAAGCATTTGAGGACAGGGCCAAATAAACTCCAATGAAGCTAGAAAGCCCATTGATTTCATTTCATAAATTCAACTATTAGTCCTAGCTCAACTTTACATGACTTAGGCTGACAAAATAATATTAAAAATGACTGACTCAGCAAACGTGAGGCGTATTAAGCTAGAGCCGCAAAAAAGTAAACAAGAAAAATTTAACGGCATGAAAACAAGGGCTAAAAGGAAAATACCGGCATCCGTGAAAAACGAGAGCCAGCGCATCACATCTGCCGGATGGAGAGAGTCCAGTTCTTCAACGAAGTATCCAGCATCCACAAGGCCAACACGGAAGCGAACACTGGATTCTGATGATGTAGTTAGGGCAGAAAAGCAGTTTTTGAACAGATCTGCCTCCAAACGTTCAGGTGAACCTAAAGAAGGATTGCGCCGCTCGAGTAGATCAGCTGGCACAAAAACTGCTAAATCACCAAGATTATATGGATTGTCAGTTAAACGGGCAACAAACCGATGTCCCTCAGACCAGAAAACGATAGGAAATTTAGTCCCGAATTCAGATAGTGTGGAATTAGGGCCTGAAGCAAATAGGCCAGACATCTGACACCAGACAAACAAGCGACTGGCAGATATGCACCAATCAGCATCTGAAGGAGACCATGAGCAAGACCTGATTGAAAGGAAATAAATTGCAATAAAAGTGGAAAGAAATAAGGTCTGAGAAAGTACTAGAAATAGATTCTTGAATATAGTAGGCGCGGGAAATGAATACAGTCGTACGAGCTGTTATGGCTATTTCCCCACAGCTAGGTATCGATTAAATAATTCAAGATGCAAAAGGATTAATTTATAACAAATTCTATTTAATTCGCATATTGGAGTGCCTTGGCATACAGGAAAGGTTGTAGGTTGGTAACAGATAAGACCTATCATTGGTACCTATAACACCAAGTATGTGTCGAAAGTATATATAATCTTATGCGAATAGGGTTTCGAAATAGGGTGAACACATCTAATTATATATAATCTTTTAGGTAATAGAGTAAATCAAATTGAAGATATGAAGACCAAGATGTTGTGGCCTCTGGTATGGTCCCAGTCTCCTTTCGATTGATAAAAGTGGCTTGACCTCGTTGTCGCAACTTGGTCTTGTTGTCAGAGCGACTTAGTAGAACGCACCTAGTCTGAAGTTGTCTGCCATAGTAGTTGTCATTATTCCCAGCATCAGACAGTGGACTTGGTACATTCCCAAACGTTTCGCGGGCATCGTAGTCGGCATCATCAATGAGTTTTGCCATTCTCCGCACCAAGCTACGAACTCGTCATCGGATGATCATGCTCCTCATTATTCCC